GAATATTTTTTGTTGATACCCCCCCCCCCCCCCCATTAAAATCACAATCACATAAAAATAAGGTCCAACGCGTCATAGTTCTATTATAACACAAATAAATTTAACTAATTATAGTTAGTCTATAGTAGCCAACCCAATATTGGGTGAAAGTAAAGACTAAAGATCACCATTCAAATTACCGGTACCTAACATTATTTGCATGACAGAAGATTGTTGGGAGATAGTAGGTGGGGGGGGGGGCAGTCAGTGCATTACTTTTCCCATAGCCCCCATTGCTGTTAAGAAAGCCCAGGTCCCAACATGTAATGCTTTGTTATTGATATAAGTTACAAACATTTTATGGCAATGTTTCTCAACTTCTCTATTTCTCTGCATCCCATACAAACTATTTGTTAGTTTCGCACCAGATTGTTTTACTTAGTCTAGCCACCCCCACCCCACCCCATTTTTCCCAAACAAGAAAACAATTTTACAACGCAATATGCATTTTAAAATTTAAAATAAAAGGACTTCTACTAGTCTAGCAATCCTATTTATTTACTTGCAAAGACAACTATTAAATTATAAATTAGTTACAGTTGAGATTTATTAAATTACTATTACCCGGTACATTAAAGGAAATTGTAATCATAGTTAATGATAGAATGCTATACAATATATAATATAGATATCATAATTTAAAAACCCAATGTCTCATATCTTCTTACTATCTCTTTTCCTCGCATTACCATAAAACGAAATGAGGCCTTACACTCTAGGTTGGGAAACCCTGCTTTATGGGTTTTAATTTTTATCTCCTACCTAGTCTTTGAGACAGCCCCCCAAGTTATTATTATCAAGCGGAAAATTTCCTGCCACGCAGCTGCTTCGTGTTGAGTCATGCGACATCATGCGCAGGTCTTTCATCAGCCGACAACGCAGGCTTGGGTATAAAAGGTTTGTGCCCAGCTCCGCAGGCAGACCAGCGCCCTGAACAGTCTACGCAGACATCAAAACATTACTTGTTTGATAACAGCCCAAGCAGACGAAATAAATATCAGCCACAGCTCCAGTAATCTACAGTGTGCCATCTCTAAATAAAAATGTAAGCTTATATTTTGGTTAATGAACAAGAAACAAGGTTCGTTTAAGAAGTAGTTCTAAATTAGTTAGGTGAAAATGTGTTGACAGTTGATGTGAGTGGAAAAGGGCTTAAATAGTTAAAATTATGTTTTAATCTATTTTTTTCTTCAACTTTTAGTTTAGCCAATTCAATATAGGAATTAGGGATAATTAGACATACCGAGGCAACAGTTGAAAGTCAGTCAAATCATCACACAAGTTTAGAGTGGTTAAAGTCGTTCAAATCCCGACATCACAGACCTGGTACTGGTGCAAACTGGCACAATGACGATGAGAACCACTGTTCAGTAGTGTTCAAGGCCGTATTATAATCATTGTGGTTTAACTTAAGCCACTGCTAAGCCTAATAGTAATAGTATTCATAATTATGTATGTACAATGTTCTTTTTTTTTTACAGATACCCGTACCAGCCTATTTCAAAAAGGTTTACTCAAGTGAAAAAAATGGAAGCCACAGTGAAGGCTTACCTAGAGAGGGAAGACTCAACAATTGAGGTGCGAAGAATACCCATTGCATTGGAGGTGCCTCAAAACATCTACAAAGAGGTTGGAACCAGAGTGGCTCAGGCATTTCCTAGCCTAAAAGACAAACTGTTCACCCTTAAGTGGAAAGGTAAATAGTTTGTGCATTTAAATAATACAGTTTATGAGTAGGCCCTCTGTCTATTCTTACTATTCAATTTATTCATCAAATCAACTTGTGTATAACACTTAAAAAATAATGTTATTTTTTGGACATTTTTATCTAATTGCTATAGAATATAGAAGTGGTGTTGTTTTTTTAAGTTTTAAGATTTTTTAAAGGAAAATCTCCCCATTTACTGTCAGGACCTGTGATTGCTATTATTTAATGGGCCTTTTAACTGTCATTTTAATTCTTATATTTTATCTTAAAGATTCTGATGGAGATTATGTTTTAATGACTACTGATGAGGAAATGCTAGAGGCCATGACTCAAGCTCAAGGCTCTGCCTTAAAAATCTACATCTCAAGTGAGTTAATTTAATAGTTACAGATTTGACAATTAAATCTGATTCATTTTAGAGCATTTAAACTAAATAAATTTCAATGCTATGTGTTGGCAGAGTGTTACTTTCAATGAATATTTTTACCTATTCATAAAATAAAAAAATTAATTTATAATAGTTATGTATTTAGGGATATTTTGTTACCCCCATTGGCAGACCTAGCTTTCAGCGACCTCAAATTAAAACACCTAGAAAATAATTAAAGCAAGCTAGGTGTGTTTATGAAATTTCAACTTAGACATTAGCCTGGACACCTCCTATATAACCATAGTATTGTTCATACAAGTTTATATTTAATTTATACATTGAAAGTAATATTTTGCCAAAAGTTAAGAATTTTTACATGTATTAGGTCTTTCTTGTATAAAAACTCCCAAATAAAATATGGAATCTCTGTCTTGTTAACAGTTACTGGAGACATAGAAATGCCTGCTGGAGATGACAAACCTCAAGAATCTGAAGAAGGTGATCATCAAAGGGAGGATTTTGCTCCAAAAGGCTGCCATTTCAGAGGTGCCTGGGAAGAAGGGAATGGAAGGAAGAGAGGTCACCGAAGTCATCACATAAAAATGCATGGTCATTTTGGTGGACCATTTGTTCATGGCCCTTTTGGTGGGCCATTTGGTGGCCAAAGTCCATTTTGTGAGCCCATTGGAGCTCCTGGCCATTTTGGAGGATCATTTAGGGGTCATGGTCATTTTGGTGCACCTCATAGAGGTCATGGTCATTTTGGTGGACCTCATGGAGGCCATGGTCATTTTGGTGGACCTCAAGGAGGCCATGGACCATTTGGAGGTCATGGACCATTTGGCGGTCATGGACCATTTGGAGGTCATGGACCATTTGGAGGTCATGGACCATTTGGAGGTCATGGTCCATGTGAAGATCAAGGTCCATGTGGTGAGCAAGGTGGATTTGGTGGACCAGGTAGATTTTGCCAATTTGCTGCAAGAGCTGGTCAGGGTCCATTTGACAGACATAACCATCATCCCTGCCCTGCATTCTTATTTCAAAGCGGGAGACACCATGGTGGACATGGATGGAAAGCAGCACTGAGAGTAAGTATTTGATGTGCTTTGTATTTCTATTGGCAACTTTAATTGAACATTTATTGAAGCAGAATTATATATTTTAAACTTTTGATACAACAATTTTAAAAAATTAAAAAATTGACATTTCAATTTTCTAGAGTTACATTAATTTAAACATTTCTTGAACAAATTTTGGATTGAAATAAATAACATTTTTTAAAAAGTTTAATTGTAGGCCTCTAATATGATGAGTTTTTTTTTCCTTAAAGGAAGCAGTTCCTGTTTCACATCGCCGTTGGGCTAAAGGTTACATTCGAAACTGGAGAGTTGAAAATTTAAAAAATGCTACAACAACCAGCAGTGACAGTGAACAAGAAAAGGTCACCATGGAGTCTGCAGGTGTTCCTGAAGCCTATGCCAAGTGGTTGGACTCTCGCCTGCCAAAGTGGCACAAACGCTGGAGCCAGGACGGTGAAAAAGTGGATGAATCAGATGCCACTGACAAAGAAGGGGAAACTCATAAAGAGTTTAAAAAACTCAAGGTAAGTAATTAAAAAAGCAAAAAATGTAAGAAATTAAAAATTACCAAATTTGAATTTCATTCATCCACATTCGTTTTATAAGATCTTATATTTTTATCAAAACAATAAATTACGGTAAACCAATAGTAGTTTATCTGTCTTTTTTTAGAATTAATTCTATAATTTTAATTTTAAAAGAGAATAATACATTCAGCTAGTTATGAGATTTATTATCTATGAAGAATAAATTCCTGAACATCACAAATAAATTTTGAATAATTTTTACCTTTAGGAATCTGTTCCAATTGAGTTCCGTAAATGGGCAAGATGGTACATGGCCCGTCACTTTGGTCCAAAAGGGGCACCAAAATTTAGAGGAGGAAAACATGGAGAGGGCCATGGTCACTACCACGGTGGACACATGGGCAAAAAGTTTGGTGGCTGTGGAAAGAAAGCTTGGAAAAAAGGATTCAAGATGGATTCTCTGCGAGTAAGTGGAATTCTTAGTAGCTTGTGCACTGTGTCACTCATTGAATGTTTGATTTATTAGTTTTTAAGTTTTTACCCTCTTATAATGTCATTTTATTCTCATGGTACAGACATACAGATTTGTTACATAAAAATTAATTTAGACATAAAACAATTCATCAGAGAAGTTTTTAACTTTGAGTTTTGCAAATTTTTTTTATTTAGGGATCTGTGCCACTGAAGTTCAGAGTTTGGGCAAAGAATTTCATTAGGGATTGGCGCCAGGAGAACAAAATTGCTGAGTGTCAGGGGGGAGCTACATCCTCAAGTGACAGTGAGGTTGACAAAGAGAAGAAACAAGGCGAGATCAATGTGCCTGCTGATTACGCCAGGTGGCTGCGCAAATTCTTAACTAAATGGCATGTGAAAAGAGGACAGCTGGATGGGCTGACAGTTGAAAGGGGTGAATTGGCAGAGTTTAAGGTAGCTATCAATTTAAGATTATCATTTGTAATTTGCTTATTTCTCTTTTTAAGTATTTGTAAAATTTGGGACATTTATAATTCACATTATATATACTTCTTGTGATTCATAAAAAAAATATTTTCAATTAAAGCCATTTGTTTTTACAATATGCCATCAAATTAAATAATATAATTTATTAATTTTACATAATTTTAAAGTTCTGTCATTTTAAAAAATTTATTAGCTTACTGTGCCTTGGGACCTTCGGAAGTGGGTGAAAATCTACCTGTGGCATCGTTTTGGCAACACGGGTAAACATGGCGAGGTCAACACAGCCATCAAGTACAGGAAATGGCTTGCTGCTTTTCAGAAGAACTGGATGGACATCAAAGGACAGAATGGTGGAGATCTCATCTTGACCAGCAGTGATGATGAGGGCACTTCAGCAAAGGTTCCTGGTGAGATACAATTCTTACAATTTAAAAAATGCTGTGTTAGAGAGTTGATGTCACATCTTTTAAACTATCTGACAGTTTGCTCGGGTTCTTAAAAAGACACATAGAATTAGAGTATTTATTCACATCTTCAGTCTTTCGGGACAACGTTGATTAGATGTTTGAGTAAACTGCCTAGTTTAGAATTTTGCCATCATCAGTTATTTTCCTACACTTAAAAATATATTGCAATGATATATAATTGTAGAGTTGAGGCAGGTTTTAAAAAAAAAGATCTTATAGTCCATGCTTTAGTCTAAACAAAAAAATGTTCAATTTTTTTCCAGAAAAAGAAGTGGAAAAGTCTTTCAAACGTCTACGATTGGAAGGGGAAAATGGTGAAAAATTGAATGTCACATTCAGTCCAAGCGTTGAAGATGAGACACCTAGTGATAGTGCTAATATTAACTCAGTGGTAAGTAATCACTGCCAATCTTTAAAATATGGCTTAAAATTTAAATTGAATTTAAGATTAAATAAGATAAGACTCTAGGTTGAAGAATGCAATGTATAGCTTCAAATTTGGCAGAATGATAGGCTACATTACACATAAATACAATGAAAAATCATTTTTGTTGAACTTTTCTTTTTAGACAAACAGTGGCTTTAAAAAGTGGGCCAAAAGGGCACTTGAGCAGTGGGATGGGAATACAGTTGGTGGATCTGAGACAGAAGCATCACAGGCAGGTGGTGCTGAGGAACCTATTCCAGTTCCAGTTTCCAACTGGATGTGCAAACAGATGATGAAAATGGAGATGAAGAGGATGAAGAAGGAGGGAAAGAAACGCATGAAAGAGGTCAAGAAAGCGAGCAAATATCTTTACCTGTAGGCAGGATGTTGTTGACAGTCCAACAGTGACACACCAGATTTTTTACAATTGGATTTTAAATATTTTTTTATCAACAGTTAACATTTCTATAACTTTATATTATATAATTTACTTTTAAACTAAGCCTTTTGTATCAATTTTAAATTACATTTTTTTAATGTTAAAAAAAATTAATTCAAGTTAATTTTGATAAAATAACACGTAATTTAAAGATTTTTTTTTCTCACCAAAAAAAATGCCTTTTTTGTGTGCATTAGTAAGTTAAAAGTGCATTATTAAGTCAAAAGTTATCATTGCTATTTTTTGTTCTTTAAACTTTCTATAAATATGATTAGATCAATGTCTAGCGGAAATGTACTTTAATAGCTTAATGCGCTGAATGTCATCACTATTAGCATGCACTTATACTACTTATATTGTTATATTTTGGTATAAGATCTAGTGTATTGAAACTTTATTCTAGAATGTAAAGAAGTGTGCACATTACTGTTTTAAATTAATAATGAGAATTTTATTATATACCTGTAATTAATTATTATCTTCTTGAAGAAAGACGAAACTCCCAAAGAACTTTACAATTTTTAAACATTAATAAATTTGACTATGTAATCTTGACCAAGGATTTGTGAAATCAACTTCAAAAAACTTTATTTAATGAAAAACAGCTTTTGTTTTAAATGAAAAAGAATATATGATTTTTACAATTAATCAATCCAAAAGAAACATAAAAAAAAACCAAGCAACTTTAGACCCTATCATGTAAAAATTGCTTTCTGTTTTTTAATAACATTTTTTACACTGTTTTGTGTTCTTTTTTAATATGATACTGATTCCCCTACTGTGTATTATTGTTTATCATAATCTTCTAAAAATGTAATAAAATCATTTTGTATTTATGAAATTATTTATTAATTTTTATAATTGACCACTTGTTTTATTTATTTTGCCATAAAATATCATCCAAAAATTGCAAAAAAATGTTAGAATTCATTGAATTCAATTTGTTATATTTTTGTAATTCAAGAATCTATTATTTCAGAGTTAATTTTTGTTATCTACATTAATTAATAGTAAAACCAGGTAGTGCTAAATTTGTTCAGAAGATTTTTGTAATTTATTAAAGTAGATCGTAATTTAAACAAAACACTCGTTCTTTTAATTGCTTAGGTCGCATGCAGTGCACTATCAGCCAGAGCATGAACTTTGTGGTTTACTACCGCCACCTCCTATGCTTACAATTCAATGTAAAAACAGTATTTTTTCACTCAGCCAGATGGGTCAGTTCTGACCTTTTACCCCACTTATGTGACAACATATACCTTTGCACAACATAAAAATATCAGAGACTTACATTTTTTAAAACTTTGACAACTTTAATATGATGAATTAAATTTCTTTGTTAATGGAACAGACAATTTATTTTTAAAAAATAAAGTCACTAATTGGATTTAAAGAGTTACAAAGAGTCAGTGGCGTAGCTAGGGGAGGGGTCCAAATTTGAAAGTCCCCCCGGCCCCTACTTGAGGGGGGCCCCCAAAGGCGTGTCCAAAATTTTTTTACATTAAATAATGTCTAATGTCAAAATGCAGGGGCCCCTAAAGAGGCCAAGCCCCCCCGGGCCCCAAAGTCCCCAGCTACGCCACTGCAAAGAGTCCTATAAAATTTAACAGCTTTGATATGGAGGTCATCATCAAATAATTAAGATAACACATACTATTTATTTATGGTAAAAAAACTAAACCAAATTATTTTCCATTCGTGAATATCACGTTTGATATTATTAATTTACACTGAATTTTTAGTGTACCTTAAAGTATAAAAATATTAACCATGTACCAATACAATACAAAGAAACCATCATCAACCAGCACCATCACTATTAAGTACAAATCATTAAATATTCATCCCAAATAATAATTTATGAAGGAACGATTCTATATTGATATATTTTACCTTGGTTGAGTGTATGCCCTCCATACAATTCATATTAAATACATAAAAAGAAGAGTTTTATTATATACTTATATACAACAGTGTTAATAAATTACTGAACAATCAACATAAGCCAAACTGCCTGTTAATTGGATGACATGGCTTTGTTTTAATGTGATCGTGAAAAATCTAGGTTTTTTTTTCAAATACAGACAGCTAATAATAATGATAACCATGATTCATGAAGTTTTCACTTAATTAGTTTAATGTTTAAATGGAAAAGGACCAGCATATTTTTGACAGGAGTATTACAATCAACTTCTTAAAAGATGTCTTGTGGCCAGGCGACTTTAGCTTAACATAAATAAGTGGGTCATCTACTAATGACAACAGATTGTCTTGATCCACTTTCATATATCAGAGTAGTTAATGAACTAATGGCACATGCATTAGTATAGGGAGCAGCTTTGCTTCTTAAAGAATGTTTTTAACAGTTTTTTTTTTATAGCTCAAATAATAATATATATTAAAGCTTTATTGACATAAAATAAAACCTCTTCAATGGACCTTTTTAATTTAAAAAAAAAGTAATTCAATTCTCACATTGATGCAAATAAGAAACAAATATGCTGGTTGATAAATTTTAATTTAAAAATTTTCATCCAGACACATGATTTAGTCATCTATTAGTAGCATTTGTTATAAATTTGGACACGTAGCGTTCCTCTTTACACAAAGGCTCCAACTCTATGCGACATTAAGCCAACAGAACAGCTGATGCAGAGCACAAGAGACAAGCCAGAAAAGCTCAGGTTGATTCTGCACCTGGTCCTACCAATCCCTTACACTTACTGAACAAGAACATTTCGTGTCAGAATCAGTTACCCGATCGCAGACTCAGACCCAGCACGAATCTGATGATTAAAATGGTCTTGATCGACATTGACAGAGTAACTAACATTTAGCAGCCAATCCCTAAAGTCTAGGAGCCACCAACAGATGTGGACAAATTTATTGAAATCTCTGCTACTTTACCCATCTCAAAACATGAATTAACCACAGCTAGAAATAACTTTAAAAAAAGTTCAAGATGATTTCTGCCATGAAGTAAAGAATTTAACATTGAAATAATTTTTAACACGAAATCCACAATTATAAATATATTGTTTACATAATTTATATCTGTAGCTAATTAGCGTAAAATATATGTACTAATGATGTAGCAGAAAGTAAATTAAAAATCAATAAAATATCAAGTTAGCACCAAATAAAATGATATTTTTGTATGTACAAATTCATAGCTATCTATCCCCAATATTTTATCACAACATTGAATCATTTATATTTTTAAAAATTAAAAAAAAAAAAAACTTTAGACAGTGCATAGTAGATTTATAAGCTATGCATTATCTGGATACCAAATATTCAACAATTTTATTCATATGTTAATTTTAAATCTGCCTCTTGCCCTAGTAACACAACTATATGTTAAAAGATATCATGGACAATGTAATACAAATGAAAGATGAACTTGGCTAAAACTCTGGAAATCAAAATGTATCACACTGAGAACTTAATGCTGAAATCATGCAACACAAAATTGTGTTTGTATCAACAGGTTTGTGTCCATGGAGACTGAAATGAAAGCAACAACAACCAAAAATAACATGAATGCATTTTAAAACAACTGCGATGGTGAATTTACAAAACGTTTTTATTTGTTAATATGAAAGCCTTACAGCCACCCTTGTGATATGGATTTTTAGTGAAGTTGTGAGACTAAAGGCGAAAGAATACCAAGATAAAGTATACTAGACATTGTTTTTGTTTGGCTCAAGTGGCAAACTATAAATTGGTACCTATAATATATGATTCTGATATTTTCTGTAATACTGGAAGAATTCCTCTGATAACTTTGTTAGAGTGATCTAATGCAGAGTGAAGGATCAAACTGTATAAACTTTAGGTGCTGCAGGCCAAAAGGCAAATGTACTATGGGTGTCCACATTGAGGGCGCCATATGAACCCTTGACTGTAGGATTACATGTGCCCCCTCAACTGTAGGAGCACATGTGTCCACTCAACTGTAGGAGCACATGTGCCCCTTCAACTGTAGGAGCACATGTGCCCACTCAACTGTAGGAGCACATGTGCCCACTCAACTGTAGGAGCACATGTGCCCACTCAACTGTAGGAGCACATGAGCCTTTATGTATTTTGCATTTAACTTGATTTAACTAGTAAATATTTTTGTTAATTTCCTCTTTTTCAAACAGATTATTATTATTTTATACTATTAGAAGAATTTGGATGTAACTTGTAAGGTGCATGGCCTACCAATCTATGTCACAAGACAGTCAGGGAGAGATGACACAATTTTTAGATGCAGGTGAACTATGGATACCTCTGTCGATTCCCTGACACAGACATTTTAGGAATGGGCTGAGATAGAGAGGAGGAATAAATTTACATATTTTGACTCACTAGTTTGTAGGCCCTTAATCTAGTAAGTGAGGATAAATATCACGGACACTCAAATTGAAAAAAAAATTGAATTAAAAAAAAATTAATGCATTGGCCAAGATAGGAATACATCAAGTATCACTTTAGAAGCCTTGTCTTCAAAACCACAAATGGATAGACAAAGTAAAAATATGCTTGAAAAGTCTGGACCTATTGGCAAGCACTGGTGTGGCCAGCTTAAGAATGACAATAATGGTACTAAAGAAATGTTGTCTTTAGCCTATGGTAAACCCATATGAGAAACATCTTATAAGTACATGAAATAGTATCACATGTGATTAGATACACATGAATGCCTGCAGTCTAAAATCGACTTAGCCTATCATCTACTTTTGCTGGACTGTGTATTACCAGTGGCTTTCTCTTGTTCTTGGAGCTGTTTGGGTTCAGACACCTCTCCACTGTGTGGCGCACCTTCATCAGTTTCAACGACGCCCACTCCTGGCACCAGTGCTTCTGGCATTAGTACAGGCTTAAGGGTGGACAGCTCTTCCGTATCTAGGAAAACTGCCCCTGGGACTTGTCTTGTGTCCGCCACAGATTCTATACTGGACAGTGCAGCTACCTTCTTGCTGTTGGGAGTGGCAGACGAGGACGCTGAGAGTTTCAGTTCATTGATGAGACGTTTTACTCCAACCATCCATTGACTTACCTACAATCAAGGAGCCATATCATCTTAGAGTTTTAAAAAATATGCTTTATAATAAATTTTGGGCCACATTCTTAAGGACTTTTCACAAATCATTATATGAAAATTAGCCTAATACTAATATTCTTAACAGTACATTGGGAGTTATTTAGCCAAATGTGTTAAACAGTGCTGACAGCTTTGTTAAAAATTACACAACAGCTTATTTTCGAGCTGCAATAATTCCTTACAGATGTTAAGCTCAATCAGTGATATCATTCCTCGCATAAAATTCTCCATGAAAGACCAAGTGAATCATTGTTACAAACTCAAATGGTATAACTATGCACAAATTTACCTCTGAAATGTGATCAACCATCAAGGCAAGGTGTAAATTATCTGCTTGTTTGAGATCTTTATTTTTAAGAGCTGAAAATACAGTTCACAATTTTAAAATTATCTTCAAAAGCTTACAACAGCTTATAATAGCTGTCATAATAGATGTTAGTAATGTAACTCATTTACTGGCATTCATAGTTGAAGGTAAAAATTAAAATAGAAAATACTTTATTATATATATATATAAATTATATATATATATATATATATAAAAATATATATATATTTTTTTTCTTTTTGTTCGCATCCGTCCGTCACAATGTGATAATGGTGTAGACTTTGCAGGAGGAAATCTTAAAGGCCTGGGATTATTCTGTTTAGGATTATAAGCTGGATCCATACACAGCAAGTCGCCTCTCTCCACGCTGCTGGATAACCCAAGGGAACAGCATGTGGGTAATACAGCTTGATACCAGTAGCGTCGCAGGAGTTTTGGGAATGTTTCATTGTGCCATTGTAATCCACTTATGGGACTCCATCTTGAGGATTGAATTCAGAATTTCCTTCTCTTAGATGAGTTGCCATCCAAGGTTAACGAGTCCCATCCACCTGGGGTGCTGGCGATGTTTTTACTTGACTGGACTTTGGTGGGGTCTGAACTTCAGATCATGAACTTGAGATAGGCTTAGTTTTGACCACTCGGCCACCCATCACTTCATTATATATTCATAAATTTATTAAATAATATTTCCATACCACAGGCAAGACATCCCAACTTGATCTTGGCACCTTCTGAGAGTTTGTCCTCTCTCCACTGATCATCTAGCATGCCAAGTCTTGTTTGCACATCCTCTCTGGACCGACCCTAATAATAATAGGAATTAATTGAATTATTGTTTTATTCATGCACAATCAAAGATCAGCAGAGAAATAAAAATTATTATTATTTTTATAAATTCACTTAACTCTTTTACATTCCTTGAATTTTTCAATAAAAAAAAAAAAAAAAGAAAAGACATTTCTGGTGACCTTACAAGAGTCCATAACTTATATAATCCATGTTTAAAGTTCAGGATGTTAACCTTGAATTTTTCAATAAAAAAAAAAAAAAGAAAAGACATTTCTGGTGACCTTACAAGAGTCCATAACTTATATAATCCATGTTTAAAGTTCAGGATGTTAAATATCACTTTGTAGGGGAGCGCAAGAGGTTTTACACAAATGTTGGTTTCTAAACATATAAATTCAACACTTAGGAGTTGTGAGAAAAATAATGTATACTTTTTCTATGAATAATGTGTAATGAAATGTTTTGGGGAACAGATGCAAATAAGAAATTTAAAAAACCTGAATATTTTTAGTAAAATGTGTTTATTCAGAAATAAATTTTATTTTTGTATGTCCTATGAAAAGTAAGAAAAAAAATGAGCATTTGTGAAATATTTTAAAAAATTAAAATTCCCAACCCATTCACAGAGTGTTCACAAAAATTACAGGTTGTTATTATTGACCTGTTTCCAATTTTTTTACACACACCAAAACGCATCACTTGTTCTGTGTTGTTTTTTTTTAAACAAAGGTAAAAAAAAGGAACTATTGGATGTACTCCATTGTATTTTGTGTTATTTATAATTTAGGCCCTTATACACCTAATGCTCGAATAACTTCCTAGATAAGTTAACTAAATTTGGAGCTAGTGATATGGTAGCTTTAGTTCAGGGATCTCAAACTCAAATCATCCGCGGGCCGCAGGAGGTAGTGTCTGAGTGCGACTGGGCCGCTTCAAGTATTCAAAAAAAAAAAAAGCGATTACTAATTCAATAAAGCACAACTGTTACAGTTTGCTCAAACTTTATTAATACCTGTAACAAATAAAAACATTAAGGGTTCTCATCAAGAACCAGGCTACACTTTCTTCCTTCTTCTTCTTCTATATCTTAAGGGCCTGCTCCTTGTTGCCAGAGACCTGGCAGTGCTTCTTCTTACACAACTGAGCATCATTTGGCTTGAGTGAGGAAGCAACTGAGACCCTCATCAGTACGTTTGGCCCTGAACTTTGACTTTTTAAAGTTCATAGTGGAAAAGAGCTTTCCACAAAAATAGGCACTCCCAAAAAAAGGCCCATGGTCCGCTTGAACAACCTGGAAATCTCTGGGAAGGTGGGTGACAATGGTCTCATAAATTGTCCATCCTTGTCTGTTTTTCTATTCAGTCCCTAAATTTAGAATTGCACTGAGGATTAATCAGCTCCGTTTAAAGCTCCAAAATAAAAAAAGATGGGGGGGAGCATCTTCCACATTAAAGGAAAAAATGGTCAGCAAAAGTGGCTCTGTGTGTTTTGAAGTCTAAAAACATGTGATCAAATTCTTCCTGTAGCTTTGCAATGGCAGTATACTCACTACTGAATGGTGTTCCCCAATCCATAAGTACTTTGCTTGTTGGGAAATGGCAGAAGTTTCTCAGAGAACCATAATACAAGTTTTGTGCAGCATGCCTTGACATTGACATAGGCAACAATGACAAGCTACCCATGGTCTTATAATTTCTTTTTGAGTACATTCAGCTCCTGTGTAATATCAACATGAGCCATTTTGGACCACTTAGTACAGGAACAATCATCCCATCCTTCTCCATGAAGGCTTTAAATGCTAAAACGTGTTCAAGCAGTAGTCAGGAGCAAGCAATACTTATAAATTGTTGATGCGAAGGAAGATGCTATTGCAGGGAGAATGAATTTAGATTTTTTTTATCGTAGCAAAGGCCTTTTTGACTAACCCTATTGAAAGGAACCAAGCTGACAGGCTCGAAATCTCCCTCACTCATAAACACTAGCGGCAATTTTAATAGGCATTCTTTGATACTCCGTCAAATTACCACTATTTACACAATAAAGGTTGTGCATTACCCAATAATTGACTTTGTAAACTTTTCTCAAAACTCCTTTTTGGCTATGTTTGTCTCATAAAATGCAATAAAATAAAAACTTTCAGTACAACTTTAAAACAGTTTTTTACCATTCTAAACAACGTCCGAATCTATCCAAACATGATAAAAAAAAGAATTAGACTAGCAGGTGAGATTTGACTGAAACCTTCGCGGAGGATCACATTATGGATATGAGAATAGGGAAAACTTGCAGGGCGCATTAACACTAAACTTTGCTGTCATGTAGTGGACAAAACTGATGACAAATAATACCGCAGGCATCACCACTGAAATTAAGGTCGGGGAGGAAAGATTAGAGACTGTCGCCCGCTTCAAATACCCAGAAGCAATAGTCTCAGAAGAAGGCTCCAAGCCCGAACTGATGTCCAGGATTGCGCAGACTACAACAGCACTAAAAAAGCTCAAGGAAATATGGAATGACAAAAATATAGCCCCCAGCACCAAAATCAGGCTGATGCGCTCATTAGTCCTCTCCATTTTCCTGTATGCCTGCAAATCCTGGACATTAACAGCCAATCTTGAAAGGAAAATAAAGGCGAGGGAGATGAGATGCTTCAGAAGCATTTTGGGCATCTGCTATAGGGACCATATCTCCAATGATACAGTGAAATAAAGGGTTCGTCGGGCAATTGTGGAGTACGATGACCTACTGGTAACTGTGAAAAATCGCAAATTACAATGGTACGGCCACGTAACAAGGAAACAAGGGCTCGCCAAAGAGGAGGGAGAAGAAGAGGAAGACAAAGAAAAAGGTGAGAGGATAACATCAAAGAGTGGACAGGACTAACACTGGGCGATGCAGTGCGTAGTGCTGAAGACAGAGAGGAATGGAGGAGGATAGTTCACATGTCATCTGTGGCGCCCCAACGGTCCAAGGACTAAGGGACAT